CACCAGAAAACCGGAAGTGGCGCTGTAGCTCAAGTGGTAGAGCACTCGCCTTGAGCTGAAGAGCTGAGGGACAGCACCCAGGCCCAGAGTTCAAGCCCCGCGACCAACCAAAAAAAAAACAAAAACAAAACAAAAGATGCTCTTGGGCAAAAAATAATAATAATAAACTTAAAAAGACTCCGATCTCAGCCAGTGAGAATGAGTTGTACATGCCTGTGGTTTCGGCTACTTAAGAGGTGTAAATAGGAGGATCATAGTCCAGGCTATCCCCAAACAAGAGTATCAATACCGATCCTCAAAATAACTCAGCCAAAAGGGGTAGGTGTGGCTCAAGTGGTAAAGCACCTGCCTAGCAAGTACAAGGCCCCTCAGTCCAAACCTCAGTACTGCCAAAAACAAATAAGTGTTTGGGGATAGGCCTTCCCCAAATCCTTTTTTCAATTGGTTGTGGGGCTTGAACTCTGGGACTGGGTGCTGTCCCTCAGCTCCTCAGCTGAAGGTGAGTGCTCTATCGTGAGTGTTCTAGTGGTTAATTGGAGAAAAGAGTCTCACGGACTTACCTGCCAAAGCTGGCAACCCTCAAATCTCAGCCTCCTGAGTAGCTAGGAAGACAGGTGTGAGCCACTGGCATCTGCTCCCCCCACCCCCACCATGCTCATACTGGAGCTTGACCTCAGAGCCACACCTCTACTGCTAGCTTTTTGCTGGCTAACTAAAGCTAGAGCCTTAGATTTCTCCTGCCCATGATGGCTTTGAGGCTTAACCCTCAAATCTCAACCTCCTGATTAGGTAGAATTACAAGCGTAAGTCACTGGCACCTGCTTTTCCAACACCATCTTTTTTTTTTTTCCTGGCTTGGGGCTTGAACTCAGGGCCTGGGATCTGTCCCCAAGCTCCTATTGTTCAAGGCTAGTACTCTACCACTTGAGCCACAGCACCACTTCTGACTTTTTCTGTTTATGTGGGACGGAGGAATGGAACCCAGGGCTTTGTGCATGCTAGGCAAACACTCTACCACTAAGCCATGTTCCCAGCCCCCAACACAATCTTGAATTCCACATAACTCTGGTGTTCGTGTCTGACTTTCTACAAGCATTTTTCAGTTCTGTAGTGGCTCAACCAGGCCTTGGGCTCAGCCCTTCTCCATAGAGCCCTTCCTAATGGTGCCCGACTAGACATTGGCACCTAAAGACTAGGCAGAGATGCTAGAGCAGAGTAGCCAGCCAGCATCTGAAGCCTGTCAGGAAAGGGTGAAGTGAGGTCAAAGAATGCTCATGGGCCTGAGGGTCTCTCTCATAGGATGGCAGTCCCGTGTCCAGCAGGCGGTCCTCAGCCACGGGGATTGGGTCCGAAGAGAACAGACCAGGCCTGGGATCTCTGTATGGGCAGCCTCGCCTTCCAGTCCCTCACAATGGCAGCAGCAATGAGGTCAACCTGCCGGCCCAGATGAGCAACCTGCACGTGTCTCCACCGCCCAGGTACTTCAGAGACTTGAAGCCATACCCAAATGCCATCCTAACCCCTTATCCCACGGATCTTCTATCCTGGCCCCTGACCCTTGATCGTAGATCACAGTTGCATTCGCATTCAGAAAGCTTCATTAGGCTTCCCCCAAGCCATCAGAGTGAAGGAAGATTGGAAGTGAGATGCCACCTTGATCCTTCTCCATTTCTTTTCTCCTGCTTAGTGCCGACCCAGCCAGGGGCCTCCCAAGAAACCGAGACTGCAGAATGGACCTGGGTTCAGAGGTGTACCGGATGCTAAGGGAGCCAGCAGAGCCCGCCACCGCTGAACCCAAGCAGTCATGCTCCTTCCGCTATCTGCAGGGCATGCTAGAGGCGGGCGCGGGCGGTAAGATTCGGCTGCACCTCACCCTGTCTGCAGTCTCCCTTCCTCCCCCAGTCCCCCCCCCACACGCACATGCATGCACACGCACACACACGCACACGCATGCACACACACGCATGCACACGCACATGCATGCACACGCATGCACACACACGCATGCACAACTTGACTTGGCCTGAGCCTCCAGCCCCCTCCCCTCACCCCGGGCTTCATGGACCTGGAAGCAACCCCCACCCCACCCCCGCCTTATGCCACCTGCTGTCCGGGTTTCAGGGGAGCGACCTGGGCCTGCTGGCCCCCGGAACCTCAAGCCCACCGCCAGCAAGCTGGGCGCCCCATTGAGTGGCCTGCAGGGGCTGCCGGAGTGCACGCGCTGCGGCCACGGGATCGTGTGAGTACCTGGAGCCCAAGCTCCGCCTCCCAGGGCCCGGGTAGGGGGCGTGGCCACCAACCTGTCAGTCACCACGATGACGCAAGGGAGGGGGCGTGTCCGAGGAGCTTGTCAGTCACTCCCGAGTGGGCGTGCCCACGGAGCCCGTCCGTCACCTCCCCTTCGGGGGGCGTGGCCGAATCTGTCAGTCATCCCGATGACCCTCCCTCCCACCCTCCCCTCCCCACAGGGGCACGATCGTGAAGGCGCGGGACAAACTCTACCACCCCGAGTGCTTCATGTGCAGCGACTGCGGCCTGAACCTCAAGCAGCGGGGCTACTTCTTCCTGGACGAGCGGCTCTACTGCGAGAACCACGCCAAGGCGCGCGTCAAACCCCCCGAGGGCTACGACGTAGTGGCTGTGTACCCCAACGCCAAGGTGGAGCTCGTCTGAGCGCCCCCCCTCCCCCGGGGTGGTGGAGGTGGGGGGGAGGGCCGGGGAGGGGGGCGGGGACACCTGTCCCACCCCCCCCTTCTGCACTCCGTGTCCCCGCGTGGCCTGTGTAAATACATTCCCCCCTGCCTCTCTTAATAAAGACCCCTCTGCTCCGTGCCAAACCCGGTGCCCTAGGCCTGGGGTGGTTCTTGCCAGGGGTCTGAGCTGACCTGAGTGGAAAGCTTGTCCGCTAGGATCTGAGATGTGGAGCCTGGAGCTCCCTCCACCAGGGGAGAGACTGGGTGTGCAAGGATCGTGGGTGGTGTCACTTTAAGGGATTCCCCCCCCTTCACCCCCCCCATTCTCCCTGGGAGACTCTTGTTTTCTAGTTCCTTCTCCTCGACACTAGGGGGCGCGCTTGACTTTTCCTAGAGCGAAAGGTTTTTTTTTGTTTTAGAGGTGCCTTGGCCCCCTTGCAAGTCACCTGTCCCCAAGGTCAGGAGAAATGACACCCCCTCTTCCCAGGTCTCCCTCCCCCCCCCCCGAACTTCTCATCGGGAGCCTGCCTTGGCGCTTGTATCCTTCCAGTTCAGACTTACACTTTGCTGTTGTTGTTTTTTTAATTTTTAACAATCCTAGGGCGTGAACTGAGAGGGGCCTGGGCCTGGTCCCTGAGCTTTTGGTTTGGGTTTTATTTCCACTTCTGGCTTTTTTGAAAGTTCATTGGAGATTAATAGTCTCGTGGACTTCCTTACCCAGCTGGCTTTGAACCGTCATCTTCAGATCTCAGCCTCCCAAGTAGTTAGGATTACAGGCATGAGCCACTAGCTCCAGGCCCTGACTCACACTTAAAAAAAATAATAATGGTTGTAAAGTTGCAGTGTGTTCTGTTTACAGGGATCACAGTGTCCTACAATTTAGGGCTAGTGGATCTATCCCGGTTAAGAAGCTGACTCTATGGCTGTTTATTTGGCAAACCTGCATAATGTGTGCTTAGTGTGCTGTTTTCCGTTTTGTGCTATCCCAAACCATAAAGGGCTCTTAGCAATTCTCATTCTAACCTTCAGCATGCAATAGTACCCATCTCCTCCCAATTTTTCCCCACGCTGGATGTTTTCCATTTTTTTATCTAATAAGTAAAATGTAGTGTGTAGCTGTTTTAATCTGGCATTTTTCTGATTACTGTGATTTAAGCATGCAACAAACATGTAATGTGTCTTGTTGCATGCCCACTGCTTGATGGAACAAAGTAGTTCTATAGCCAGGCACTTTGGATTCTCTCCTGTAATCCTAGTAATTAAAGAGGCTGAGATCTAAGGATTGTGATTTGAAGTCAGTCATGACAGAAAAGTCAACGACTTTTATCTCCAATTAACCACTAAATAGCCAGAAGCAGCTGAGCGTGGTGACTCACACCTGTAATTCTAGCTACTCAGGGGGCTGAGAGCTGAGGATTGTGGTTCAAAGTCAGCCCAGGCAAGAAAGTCCATGAGATTCTTATGTCCAATTAGCCACTCAGAAAACCGTAAGTGGTGCTGTGGCTCAAGTGGTAGAGCACTAGCCTTGAGCTGAAGAGCTGAGGGACAGCACCCAGGCCCAGAGTTCAAGCCTTCCAACTGACCCCCCCCCCAAAAAAAAAATATAGCCAGAAGCAGCCTTAAGTGTAATAAAGCCAACGGAGTATGAAGACCTGAGCTCTAGTACTGTCAAAAAAAAAATAGTGGTTCTTGTGTGAATTACCTGAAACCTTTCACCCTGTGCTGGGGACTATTTAACTTTTTATTAATGATTGGTAGGAATTTTTCACCCTCTTATACGAATCTTTGTTCCTGGATTTTATTCTGATCTACTGTTCCTGTGGCAACATCACGATTTAGATGTTTAATTACCCCAATGTTAGAGTCTAATAGCAAATTCTTCCTCTTATTCTTCACTTACAAGCATGTCACATCTGTCCATGTGCATTTCTAGTCATCAGGTTAGACCCAGTGTTTCAGGCTCTGGGAAAATAAACCTCCTTGAACCGTGACTGAGGTTTCCTCAAATCTAGAGAGAGAGAGAGAACTGGTATGGAGTCCTTTCGTGCAATCTGTATTTCTTCAGTGTTTATTCAGGTGTTGTGTATGTCCTCTTGTGAATTTTTACTTCCAATCCTTTCTCATAGATCTTTTTTTTTTTTTTTTTTTTCGGTCATGGGGCTTGAACTCTGGGCTTGGGCGCTGCCCCTCAGCTCTTTAGCTCAAGGCTAGCGCTCTACCACTCGAGCCACAGTGCCACTTCTGGTTTTCTGGTGGTTCATTGGAGATAAGAATCTCATGGACTTTCCTGCCCAGGCTGGCTTTGAACTGTGATACCTAGATCTCAGCCTCCTGAGTAGCTAGACTCAGGAGCCACTGGCGCCTGGCTGAAACTCCACACTTCTTGAAGCCACCCTCACCCGCATTTAAGATGAAGTGGTGGAAGAATCCTTGCTTCTCCCCCACACCCTGCATCACCCAGACTTTCTCTGGACCCGCCCTGATGGTAGGCCTGGCCTATAGGATGACTGGCAGCCAAAGAAGCCCTTAGGCACAGAGGCAGATAGAAAGAGCCGTGAGCACAACACCCCGCACCGCTGTCCACATTGGTCACCCATGATCCACCAATACCCCTGAGGGTGCTCCCTGCCCATAGCACCACCCAAAATGTCATGCCCTGGATCATTGGCTCCCCGGGAGCTCCACCCCCCGCCCCCAGGGCTGCAGCCATCAGAGCACCTTTGGTTGAGCCTCCCAATAGGGGTGTGTAGAATGGAGGGGTGCGCAGAGCTGCTAACCCGAGATGTGTCCATTCCTGGTTCAAGGTGCAGTCCTGCTCACCCAGCCCCTGCTCATCTCTTCTGCACGTAGATCCCAACTGGGCCTAAGTGTGGTGGATCATTGAAACCTTGGGAAAGGGCTTGTTGAGACAAGGTCTCTGCGGCCCAGGGTCCCAGTCCTGAGATGAGGGAAGAGCAGAATCCTCCCCCGAGGGAGAACCAGAGTCACTGGTCCCCAAGAGCCATAGCCTACTGTGTCTAGAACCCACTTTCACTGATACCTTCCAAACCTTTCCCTCTCTCAAGTCTCTTTTTTTTGGGGGGTGGGCTTAAACTCAGGACTTGGATACTGTCTCTGAGCTTTAGAACTCAATGTTAGTGCTCTACCCTTTGAGCCACAGCTCCACTTCTGGCTTTTGGTGCTTAATTGGACATAAAAGTCTCGCAGACTCCCCTGCCCCAGGCTGACTTCAAATTGCAATCCTCAGCTCTCAGCCTCCTGAGTAGCTAGGATGACAAGCATGAGCCACCAGCACTGGCTTCTCCCTCAAGTCTTTACCTCAAAGGCCTTGGAAACAAGGCTTGAACATGGTTCTCTCCCCCTCACCCAACTGCCCCCTCCTACCCAGAATCCTTGTGGATGGTTCTGCCAACTATGAACTCCTAGAGTGCCTTTCTGGGCAGTTCTCCATTCCCATGCTTCTAATGAATAGCATTTAAAGCCTCTCTGTTTTGTCTCACTTCCAGTTACAACAGACAGTTCACCTTTCAAATCCCTCAACGCCTCAAGCTCAAAAGAACTTGCTTTCTTCTTCATTCAGGAAACTCCTACTCACCCTTCAAAACCCAGCTTTATTATCCCCTCCTCTAGAGCAAATCCTTAGGCTTTCCATTTCCATTCACTTGCCTTCTGCCCCATCTCATTCCTGCCCAATGCCTAGGGAACAATCTGTCTTCTCTATGGTCAGAAGCTACTCAAGAGTTATATATGTCTTGGGGCTGGGAAGGTGGCTCAGCGGTAAAGCGCTTGCCTTTCATGCATGAGGCCCTGGGTTTGATTCCTCAGTACCACATAAGCAAAAAGAAAAAAGTTGGAAGTGGCGCTGTGGCTCAAGTGGTAGAGCACTAGCCTTGCATGCATGAGGCTCTGGGTTCGATTCCTCAGCACCACATAAGCAAAAAGAAAAAAAGCCAGAAGTGGTGCTGTGGCTCAAGTGGTAGAGTGCTAGCCTTGAGCTGAAGAGCTGAGGGACAGCGCCCGTGCCCAGAGATCAGGCCCCACGACCGGACCCCCCCCAAAAAAAAAGAGTTATATATGTCTTGCCCAAACCTTCCAAGTAGGCACTGGTATGTGCAAAGGCCCTGGGGCTGGCACACACATACATGCACACACACACACGAGCACAAACCTTATACCACCTTTTTATTCACCTCCCATTTCAAGCATCCTGCTTAAGTTCTCAAGGGGAAGTCAAGCCCCAGAGATCAACTGCCTCCATCCTCATTCATTCAACAACTTACACCAGTAGAACATTTTATTTATTCATTTGTCATGGGGTGTGAACTCTGGGCCTGGGTGCTGTCCCTCAGCTCTTTAGCTCAAGGCAAGCACTCTACAACTTGAGCCACAGCCCACTTCTGGTTTTCTGGTGGTTTATTGGAGATAAGAGTCTCATGGACTTTCCTGCCCAGGCTGGCTTTGAACTGCCATCATCAGATCTCAGCCTTCTGAGTAGGTAGGTTTACAAGTGTGAGCCACTGGCGCCTGGCACCAGTAGAACATTTTAAACAAGTATAAAAATAAATACAGACTATAAGCAGTGGGATGACGGAACTAACAGAGGACATTACAATAGAGAAACGATTGCTTCGTAAGAAGAATCTGGGAAGAGCTCCCAGATCAGTTGTTTTTTTTCAAGCAGAGACCTCGGGCAGAGATGGAGCATCTGCTGGGGAAATTGTATTCCAGGCAGAGGGAACAGAAAATGCAAAGGTGGCTGGGCACTGGTGGCTCACCCCTATAATCCTAGCAACTCAGGAGGCTGAGCTCCAAGGATAGCAACTGGAAGCCAGTCTGGCATAAAAGTCCAAGAGACTCTTATCTCCAATTCACTGCCACAAAGCCAAAAATGGAGGTGTGGCTCAAATGGTAGAGCACTAGTCTTGATCAAAAAAGCTAAAGGGGGCTGGGAAGGTGCTCAGTGGTAGAGTGCTTGCCTTGCATGCATGAGGCCCTGGGTTTGATTCCTCAGTACCACATAAGCAGAAAAAGCTAGAAGTGGTTTTGTGGCTCAAGTGGTAGAATGCTTGTCTTGAGCTGAAGAGCTGAAGGACAATGCCCAGGCCCAGAGTTTAGGCCCCATGACAGACAAAAACAAAACAAA